CAGACGCTCCCGAGGGGAGCCGGCGCCGCCGCCCCCAGCCTGTTCGTGCCCCGTGTTGGGGGTGCCGAGGTGCCACCCGAGTGCGACTGCGGCAGACGGACCCGGGGCTTGGCTAGCTGAAGCTGCACCCCACAGTCTGAGCAAGGCGCCTGTGCGGCCTCGGCAGGGCTCCGGGCATTCCCGCAGGCTGGCAGGTGACTCCGCCAGGCCCGGCTGCCCTCAAGGACGGGCACGCGGGCGCGGCCTCGCTTGTCCAGTTCAGCCGCAGCGGCCGTGGACGCTGGGGAACCGCGGGGCTCGGGCGCTCGCCACAGGCCAGCAGACAGCCCCTCCGTGCATAATTTAGACGCGAGACAGCTGGCGAGCTGGAACTCACGGGGTCACTCCACAGTGCGCAGGGCGGGGCTCCCTGCCGCGGGCTGTCTCCGGGCCACCGGGCTACCACATGCGGCGGCCCGGGGAGTGACCACAGGGCCAGCAGGCCCCCTATCTCCCGCCGCCCCCTCAGCAGCGGATTTCAGCGGATCCGCCTGTTCTGCTCCCCTCCCTGTCTCTGGGGCGTCCTCTCACAGCCCTCTCCTCTGGCCTGCACCCCAGTGCTTGCGTGCATAAACACTCAGGTAAATGCTGGGGGGAGAAAGGACAGTTGGTACCAAGCAGGAGGACACTGGGAAGCCTTCTTGGAAGGCTCTGTCTGAACCGGGTCTAGCAGCGTTCGACAAGCGGCTTCCCCGGGGCAGAACCCCAAGAGAGGGGGAGCCCCGCGCCTGAGGCCTCGCTGCCAGGTCCGCTCTGCTCGCTCACCCACAGCGTGTGGCCTTCGTGGCAAGGACCGTGGCGCGGAAAGCTGGGTTTGCTCGGGGCTGCGGCGAAGCGCCGCCTGTTTGCCAGGCTCCACGCCAGGTGTGGACGGGCCTGCTGGGCATGGGCAGGCGCCTGCAGGCACTCAGACCGGGGTGGCCGGAGAGCCCCAGGCCCCGCCCTGCTCCTGGTGCCGTCTTGGGCCTTTCCAGTGTGTGGGGCTGAGTTCACCGCCATAAGGGCGGAGCGTGGCTGGTGTCAGGCTGAACGTGCCACGTGAAGCGTCAGTGTCAGCACTGTCCTGGCGCCCAGGCCCTCCGGGCCCCACCCGTGGCCCTCTGCGGCTGAGCGGGCCTCCACAGGCCCGTCTGTTAGATCACTCCGGAGGGGCCAGACGCGCCTGACTTCCACCAGGAAAGTACCATCTGCGGTTGACCACGCAGGGCCAAGTCTAACCTACTGGTGCAGTTCTAAGCGGTTTTGCCTGGCGGCCACGTGACATTCAGAGCAAGCTCCCCCTCCCCAGAGCAAGCACCCCTTCTCCGGAGCAAGCACCCCCTCCC